CAACACACACTTTACGTTGACATCTTTTTAAAACACACGGCTATAATTTATATAAAATTATGAATAAACTCACATAGGTACCTTCATTTACATTTTGTACGCAAGACGCGCATTTCGTCTTCAAAAGACCCATCATTGACGCTCGAATCAACAAAGTTAAAACGGAAAAAGTTCGTTTGAAGGTAGAAAGCATTGATGACCCAAAATTCCGAAAGGTGTTGCCAAATCTAGCTCAAGCAATATATTCCTGGGGTAGAAAATTCTCAGTATTTCGAAAAATATTTAAAGCCACCTGCCAAGTCATGCAACTATTTGAAATATAGAAGACATCATAATCAAAGAAAGATAACTGTTATTTTTATTTGTAACTTTTAGGAAATGCAACACAAAGAACATTGTTTTTCTCCTCTTTCCTTCAGAGACCAAGATGACGTCGTCCAAATATGTTACAAGCTATATTATCCTTTTCCACCAAGTTGTCTAACATACATCCTTATCCTTACCGTGATTGTCTGTATGTTTGTGTAGTGCTTGACATATTGACACCTGGTTCTAAATACCCTTACATGGTTGCTTTACTTATATCACTGTATATGTCAGCCAAGTTTTCAATTTGATTAATATGAAATAATTCAAGGCATTGTTAAAATTCGAAGGATATTGGTACTGTGACAATTTTAAATGTTTACAAGGATATACGTTTTATTTATCATTGTACATATTTCCTCAAACGCTCGACCCTGTAATCTCATGTTAGTGAGTCCCGGTAGCGTACACCTTTCCTCAACCATCTGATTATGTAATCTTGTGATAGTGAGTCCAGGTAGCGTACACCTTTCCTCAACCATCTGCTTATGTAGTCTCGTGATAGGGAGACCCATTAGCGTACAGCTTTCATTAACCATCTAACTCTTTTGTCTCATGATAGCGAGTCCCGGTGGTCATGTTTTCAATTCAATCCAAAGCGCTGTTAATGAAAACATTGAAAATAACAGGAATTTACTAAAAATATTGGACAGAAGCCTCCGCATACAAAGAAAATAAAATAAAAAAAAAAATACATTATGGTCCAGATATCATGCAACTCCAGAACCCTTTGTAAACAAAGACAATTAAGAAAACCACATACATTATGTGGTACAGGTACAACATGTGTATTAACGGTGTCCGAAGCAATCATAATAAACGAAGAGCTCATAATTCTTCTAATTAATCTTTAAATAATTTATTTCAGATATTTCACGAACCAGAGTTGTTCTTGCAATGAACAGCCGCAATATTCTCACTGTTACATTAGTAACGGCTTACCTATCCGGAGCACCCGCGTTTACCCTAGGTATAGGTTGGGTTCGTGTTGTTGTAGAATTTTTGGTATATGCCACGAGAGTGAATATGTCGAATGTGACTTCACCAAATGAGACTTAAGACTTAATTTGTGTTTACCATGAGCAACACGACGGGGTGCACGTCCTGAGCAGGATCTACTTACCATTCAGGGCACCTGAGGTCACCTCCTGATTTTGATGGGGTTTGTGTAGATAGATTTTGTATTATATTGTTTGTCTTGTGTATCGGACGCATTATTATTTTATTGTTAATGTATTTATATAAACCTGGATGCAATTATGTTCTTTTAACTACAAATACATTTTGTTTAAACGTATTAAAAAATATTGAACCCTAAGGTAAATTGAAAACAGAAAGTGAACTCCAAGGTAAATTAAAAAAAAAGGAGGAAGTCCATTAGACAAAATCCAACGCTCGACTCTATCAATCAACGCAACGAATGGAAACAACTGTTATATTCCTGTACAGGCATCTTCTGACGAAAATTGTGGATTAAACCTTAATATCATTAAACAAAACTTCCCTCCTTTTGTAGGACAGCTGTTCATAGTTCCGTTATATATACTTATGTACACTTAACGTAAAGATCTGATTAATTTGCAAAGGGCGATGGAACAAACTTAAATTGTATTATTCCCCTTTTGCAAAAATACTAATTGTTTTATATTTGTCATTTCGGGGCCTTTTATTACTGACAATGCGGTATTGGTTTTACTCATTGTAGAAGGCCGTACGATGACTTATAGTTGTAAATTTCTGTCTCATTTGGTCTCTTGTGGAGAGTTGGCTTATTGGCAATCATACCATATCTTCTTATATTTTATATTTTAATTGAGTGATAGACGAATCGCTGTTTAACAGCCATGGCATATTACCGACGTGAACATGATAATATGATATAAATATACACCCTGCTATATATCACTTCATTGGCAAGCTCAGCCGGATTTATAACGTATTAGTTCATAAGGCAAAGTATCCAGAAAGATATGCCACCCTACACGGACACATTATTCGGACTCCTAGTCGACCAGTTGTTGCTCTTAATTCTTAATGCCGCATGCTTAGCGGAGAAGAAGCACATACCAATTGTCAAGTCTGTGGTTTGACTCGGCCAGGTTTGAACCAGCTTCCTTCTGCACTTAAGGCGAGCACGCTACCAAGAGACCACCGAGGCGGTCTTTTCAATTGAAAAGCAAATCATCATTATGAATGCTCTAAAACAATGTCAATACTTCAAACACGTATCTAAAGTATAAGTTATGTCGGGACTTCACTAGTATAACGGAAACATACACACTACTAAAACAATGTCAATACTTCTAATACGAATCTAAAGTATAAGTTATGTCCGGACTTTACTAGTATAACGGAAACATACACACTACTAAAACAATGTCAATACTTCTAATACGTATCAAAAGTATAAGTTATGTCCGGACTTCACTCGTATAACGGAAACATACACACTACTGTACTTTAACATATAAACAAAAGCTAAAAGTTATTAGATTATTCCTTGCTAATAATTAAGCTTGTTTTGAAATAAAGAAAGTTATTAATTCATTTGTAACTTTATCGGGACTATCGAGCCCCCTTATCATAAACATCCCAGCACACATATATTGACACAATTTGAAAAAAAAACGTATGCCTCGTGCAATTGTCTGCCATATCTTAATGCAAACACCACATTCTAATGAAATTCATTTAGAACAATAATGTTCATTGGACATTGACAAATATTTTGAAAGGTAAGATTCCACGTTCTACCAGTCCATAGCAAAGAAAAACCACCTTTTTCAAATCCGATTTGTTTTATATGTATTGTTTTTGTGTGCATCACAATCGTCTTTTTGTCAGTATTTAAAACCATTCAGAAGCGTACGAAAGGTATAAATACGTCTAGTGTTTATGTTTGACAATACGCCTATGCCATACCGTATAGTAAGCTTTTAAAGGCTCTAACATGACGAAACGTTAAACAACTAAAACGAAAAGAACAACGGTATGATTTACACATAATAACAATAAATAAAAATAACAAATATGATTGACAGCACCCAAAGACAAGCACTGATTTACAGGCCCCTGAATTTGGGACAGGTACACTATGTGATAGCAGGTTTACCGTCTATATGTATTTAGGTTTTTGCTGTCATTGAGTTGCTGTCACATTGAACTACACAACACATCCTCTGTTGAAGTATATAAGTAAGCAATGAATGTGGTTGTTATATTTGATAGATGCTTTCTGTGCTTCTTTGTTAAAAGTTTGTTTGTTTTGAGATTGTGACACAGTGATGACTGCTGTACCCATATTTTGACAATGTTACCTATTATGTCTGTTTTGTTCACGCATCGTTGTAAATATAATGAAATTGGATGCGACTGTCATACAAGTGAGAGGATTAGCGCTATAAAACCAGGTTCAATCCACCATTTTCTACATTTGAAAATGCCTGTACCAAGTCAGGAATATGACAGTTGTTGTCCATTCGTTTGATGTGTTTTATCATTTGATTATGCCATTTGATTAGGGACTTTCCGTTTTGAATTTTCCTCGGAGTTCAGTATTTTTGTGATTTTACTTTTTTCTGTTATATAATTAAATAGAATATCTAAACGAAACCTGTCTAATTTTTTATTTGTGTTTCATAACCATTATTCATGTTAGTGCCGTTCTTTTGTACTTGTTTTTTTTTTTTTTTTTAATTTAGAGGTTCTTAACAAAATCAATTGTTTGAACAGAGGGCAGCAATATAATTTATACACCTATTTATCGAGTATCATATTGGAATTCGATACTACCGAGCGATTCTCGAATGCTCGAGTTCTTGTTGACATCCCTAATAAAAACGAGTGTTGAGTCAACTAAACACATACCGAACTGAATCAACACTTTAATGAACGGTTTGCATTGCACTGATGTCTTACGAATAGCTATTTGATCAGTCTTATTATACGAGTAATTTTAGCTGATGTAATTATTTGCTATACTTTGAAGTGGATTTTTAAAAATAAAAGTGACACAAACATTAAATAAATATTGGAACGAAATATAACAAAATCAAAATCTAAAAAACACTACATCAAAAACAAAAAAAACGTAGAAATAGGAACACCAACAAAATCGCAGGAGATATATCAGTCGTTTTGGAAGGGTAAGTTTATCCAGTTCCACTTGTAGAATTCATTGTTTTACTGGTGTAAACAGCAAAAAAGGTAAACACAAAGGAGTTAATACAATTAAAATACAACAAACTTGATATGCTTCGGCATAATACATTAACCGTCTTGCTTAACAAAAGTCATATGCAGTTGTTACAGCCACAAATGAGCTGAATTGCTTTATATTAGAAATACGATGTAAAGTTGGTACATGTAAGACGATTATTTATATAACATATCATCTCGACACATTTAAAACCCACAATAACTCGCTAAATTGTGATTAATATTTCCGTGTACGAAACAAATACCTTTTCTAACACAAATTCATTTAGTTTGCTTGTCCGTTTTTGAATAGCGTGTAATAATTGAAGTCATTGTACTAGTTACGAATTGTATGGCCTACTGCCTTTCTTTGTTTTCATCAAATACATCTTAAAATAACTGAATTGTTTAAATAGTTTCCTTTTGTATAACACTGGGATATGATGAGTCAAATAAACACATCTCTTGCTGAACCAACACATTAATGGACGGGACGCGTTGTACTGACCGTCTAAGGATAAACAGTTGGCCAGTTGTAGTATTATTCTAGCAGATGTAAGTAATTTGCTATAATTGGGTGTAGATTGTTCTTAAACTCAAGTGACAAAAATTTTAAGTAACCTGTTAAATGAAATATGATTGAAATGGGAAGTATAGGTAGGTTAATTTTTCAACTCAAATATTTCCGCAACGTGTAACATAAACAATTTCAAAAGACAGGTGGCAAATAAGAAATAGGGAATACAACTAATCAATCGAAAGCAGACAAGAAAAACCATGACAAAAACCATACATGTTCAATCTTCATATTTTTGCGGGTCTCATTGTAGTCGGATGGTCATTATGCAATTACAAGCTTACAAAAGAATACAGAGACAACGTTTGGTGTAAATTGCAGTCATATATGGGTTTTTTTTCGCTTATTGTTTGCCAAACTCATATACTTAAACAATCATGCAATACGAAGTCGATTACTATTGTGTAAATCTGATAAATCTGATTGGCTAATATATTACATGTAGAAAGACTGTGTTTAGTACCCCACTTCCTCCCGCAAAACATTTTTTTTTAAAAACACACACGTTTTTCAAAATAGTCGTCCCTTGAGACAAAAGCTGTTGTCTTATTTATTTTGTGTTCCATTCACAGCGTCAAATTGCACGTTTTGTTTATGGGTGTATTTTACTTGTTTTTGCTTGCAAAAAGACAAAACAACCCAAACACGACTTCCGTGATATTGTGCAAAGCATATTGTATGGCTATCAAAACAGATGCACATTGTTATATTATTTATTAGAAGCGGTATGCATATCGAAATTAAGCCTTCTCAATCTTGAAAACTGGCTGGATGAAAGGTCAATAGTTCGATCATTGAAATTTGTTTATTTTTTCTGTTTTTTTTTTTGCTTAGCAATGAGATTAAAAAGAATGAGTATTATTAAGGATTAATTTCGGACTGTTACATTGTGATTAAGCCCGTAATAAACCCGACCCAGTGTGCAGGTCGTGTACTATATTTATAACACGTTAAGGTGTTCTTGTCATTGTATGCATGTAATGGTTAAACGTTAGACACCAATCCGTCCTCCTCCTCCTCCTCCTCCTCCTCCTCCTCATCATCATCATCATCATCATCATCATCATCATCATCATCATCATCATCATCATCATCATCATCATCATCATCATCATCATCATCATCATCATCATCATCATCATCATCATCATCATCATCATCATCATCATCAGGCTTGATTTCAAACATGAGTTCAATCAGATGTAACCTAATGATAACTGATAACGTAATGCAATACACTATACGCCTAAGTATTTCATTGATCTTATAAGTTAAGCCCTTCTCAACTGATTTGTACAGTTTGTTCTTATGTTTGCTGTAACACCACTTTCCCAGGTTAGGAGGAGGTTTGAGCGCTTACAAACATGTTTAACCCCGCCACATTTTTTACGTGCCTCGTAGTCGTTGGTTCATTTCTGTCATATTTATTTTTTTCATAAGTTGTTTTGTAAAAAAATAGGCCGATATTCTTCTCAAATATTGTTTCATAGTTTTCATATCGAGGCCTTATATAGTCGACTTTACGTTATGGGTTATTGTTGAAGGCTGTATGATGGCTATAATTGCTTACATTCACTTCATTTGAACTTTGGTGGATAGTTGTCTCATCTGCAGTCATACCTCAAATTTTTATTTTTATAAAGATATGGACATAGTTTCGTGCAAAAAAGCAATGACACTTAACGTAAAATATTCTTCTTCACTGACAGCAAGTAATAAATGAATCGATCCAAACAATGTGTAACATAGGATTTGTTTTAGTGCAAAGGGCATGGAATAATGTTACGTGTATTTTATTTAACACCTTTTTTCAAATTTTGACGAAAAAACAATAACACCTCTTTCAATTCTGATCGTAGTAGGATGCAATTTCCTGTATAAAGGTCAGCAATAAAAATCTGATTTTGTACAAGTGCTGCGATACGATCAACATAAATACTGTAATGATGAATTTTTTTGTGTACTTTTGTGAGAGGCTTAGCTAGCTATAAAACCAGGTTATTCTACCATTTTCTACATAAGGAAATGCCTGTACCAAGTCAGGAATATGACAGTTATTTTCTATTCGTAAGATGTGTTTGAGCTTTTGATTTTGCCATTTCATAAAGGACTTTCAGTTTTCAATTTCCTTTTGAGTTCAGTATTTTTGTTAAGTTTACTTTTTTGTGTACTTTGATTGAGATGTCTGCTAATGTGTAAATACATGATTGACTTTGTCCAGTGCCAAGTTTTTCATGGATCTCTTATATAAAAAAAGACATATTTAATATTTAAAAAGGAGGGAAAAAAGTCAACCATTTAAGGTGAGAGAAAAATTCCTATGTAAACATTTAATATGTTTGGGTAGATGTAATAGTACTATTGCCTACTACTTATGGTGTTATACATCAAGTTTTATATGATTGATAAGTCCCTCAGAACTAACCAGATTTCTGATTTTTAGACTTACCTCCTTGATGGCACACAACTAATAAATATCCATTTTTTGTTTTATTACGCTGTCAGCGTTATATATTATGGTTCGTTTGGTGTGTTTAAATCAATATTTATAAATAATTTAGAGATCTTTCGAAATAATACATTTTTTTACAGGACTATTACTTGTCATACAAGTGAGAGGTTTAGCTAGCTATAAAACCAGGTTCAATCCACCATTTTCTACATAAGAAAATGCCTGTACCAAGTCAGGAATATGACAATTGTTATCCACCCGTTTGATGTGTTTGAGCTTTTGATTTTGCCATTTGATTATGACTTATATCTAGAAATTGACCATGAGGGTCGGTTGAAAACAAAACTTTACGACAAAAGAGATGATTTCAGCTTCCCAATTGTGGATTTTCATTTTTAAACCAAGAGTTCCAAATGGTGAAGCTGAATCATCACTTTGTAAATTTTACGGACGCCATCATGAGTTGGTTGACCGTTATGGAATATCCGTTTCACAGATGATATCGGATATGTTCCTTATGTCGTAACTGCAATCCCGTTCCCTTTTCACGAATGTGACCTACCGAATTAGACTATTTACCCCTATTTTTGACATTTTTACCTATTGTTTTTGTTTGTTTTGTTCACACATCGTTGTCAATATAATGAAATTTGATGCGACTGTCATAAAAGTGGGAGGTTTAGCTAGCTTTAAAACCAGGTTCAATCCACCATTGTCTACATAAGAAAATGCCTGTACCAAGTCAGGAATATGACAGTTGTTATCCATTCGTTTGATGTGTTTGAACTTTTGATTTTGCCATTTGATTGGGGACTTTCCTTTTTAAATTTTCCTCGGAGTTCAGTATTTTTGTGATTTTACTTTTTAATACAACACAGGAATATCAAATACAATTCGAATTTTACAATCTTAAGCTATTTGATAACGAAGAGCATTTGCATTACCTGCATATACACTAATGAATTAAAACATTATCATTTTGAAATATTGAGTAGATGTTTACATCAATGACCTCGTTTCTGTAATAAATTGATTTACATTCGTGTACCCTGATCTATTGGTTGATATATGTTACTGTTATGACGAGACGATGACCGCAGCTTTCAAAAACAATTCCTATAAGAATGTTCCTCAATGATTAATATCGTTTAAAGTTGGCCCAAATCAAATCGTACTGCAAACTATAGTACTGGTCATATCTCCTTGATCTGGTAACTGCTACAATGACATAAAAATACAACCAAAACAAAAACCAAATCAACAGTAAATTTTAATAATTATAAAAAAGAAGATGTGGTATGATTGCTAATGAGACTACTCTACACGAGAGACCAAATGACACAGAAATTAACAGCTATAAGTCACCGTACGGCCTTCAACGATGAACAAAACCCATACCACATAGTCAGGTATAAAAGGTCCCGAAATCACAAATGTAAAACAATTTAAACGAAAAAACTAACAGCCTAATTAATTTACAAAAAAATGAATGAAAAACAAATATGTAACACAGCAACAAACGAAAACAACTGAATTATAGGCTCTTAGCTTGGGACAGGCACATACATACATGTGGCGGGTTTAAACATGTTAGCGGGATCCCAACCCTCCCCCTAACCTGGAATAGTGGTGTACCAGTACAACATAAGAACGAACTATGAAAATCAGTTGAAAAAGGCTTAACTCATCAGATGAATACAAATAGAAATACATATAACAAAAACACGTGGACGTTACCGGGTACTTGTACATCCCAACAACAAAAAGACACAACGTTCAGATCTGAGAGTACTCGCAGTTACTGATAGCTAGATCTAAGCCAATAACAACTAATATAAAAAATCATGCATCTCAGATCTAAAGTATCAATCAGTACATATCCAACATCCAATGGATTTAGTGTAAAATATGTCAAATATAGTCAGAGATAAAAAGACCTTGTGCAATGCCAAGATACAGGAGTCGACAGATTGTAGATCCATGAAAGTGAATATGTATATAGCAGTAATATTTATACAAAAAAGAAGATGTGGTATGATTGCCAATGAGACAACTCTCCACAAGAGACCAAATGACACAGAAATTAACAACTATAGGTCACCGTACGGCCTTCAACAATGAGCAAAGTTCATACCGCATATTTAGCTATAAAAGGCTTCGAAATGGCAATTGTAAAACAATTCAAACGAGAAAACTAACGGTCTAATTTATGAACAAAAAAAGAACGAAAAAAAAATATGTAACACATCAACAAACGACAACCACTGAATTACAGGCTCCTGACTTGGGACAGGCACATATATACAGAATGTGGCGGGATTGAACATGTTTGTTTGCTTTAATTTTCTGATAACAAGATCAATACTAATACAAAAAAAAAATATTCAAAGATCTAATGACAGTTTTGAATTGGTAACCTTTTAGAATAAGTTTATTTAAAGAATCGATAAGTTTACCAGTTCTAATAAGTTAAGTTGTGTTCGATATGCTAAAATTCCACAATTCCATATATGCTTATCATATTTTTACTCTATTGAACATCTCCTTATTTCATATTTTAGCAATATAACTTAAATATTTCATTCGCTAATATGTCACGTGCTTGATGTATAAATCAGTACACTTTTTAATTTGATTGGTCAGTTTTTCAAATAGCAAAGACAAGTCAACGAAAAACAGACCAGAGTATATCCAAAATAAAAACGACAATATATAACAATGACATCTGGCTGGTAATATTAAATGATGAGGAAATATTTTTCAGTTTGTACTCAGTACATTTAGGTCAACCAATAATTAATCGATGATCTCAAATGGGGTGTAGTTTAGTACTTTGTAAATTTCTCGCTGCATTGAAGACCTGTTGGTGACCTTCTGCTGTTGTCTGTTCTATGGTCGGGTTGTTGTCTCTTTGTCACATTCCCCATTTCCATTCTCTATTTTATTATTTAGTACTTTGTGTTTGTATAAAATTGAAGTGTCAGTCAACTAAACAGGAAAAACACCTACTTTCTGACTTAACTGATGGCAGGAATACATTGTACAATCGTAACCAGAAAAATCATAACTAGTTGACCATTCTTGGTGTATGATCTTAGCTAAGGTTAGTAATGTCTTTTACTTGTATGTAGATTCTATGTGACATAACTATAACATACCCTTTTAAAATAGTTCCATTAATGATATTAAACTAATGAAGCCGTGCCTTTAGTTGACTAATTTCGTTGAAGACAACAACACAAAACATTCATTATAGACACTTCTAAGAGGTTTAATTAAAGAAGTCTCAGTTTCAGTTTGAGAAGAAACCGTCTGTATTTGTGAGTGGTCAGAAATTGATTAAAATCATCACACATTTGGCTTAAACAGTGTTTTTCTTAACATAGTTAGTTAATGCATCAGGTCTATAACTTACTGTTGAACGATGTAAGAACGTCCCTAACATTAAATCATACAACATTTTGAGGAAGAAAAAACACACTAAAAGATACGAATCTTATAACAAAGTACAAAGAATAGATTCAATAGAACATATCATAGGAAACTGAGCAAGTCGACTAGGATAGTAGTATTGTTCTATACTGAAGACCCCGCTGAGTCAACTTATCTCGTTCATTGTGTTTCCCTACAATTTCAACTTTATCTATTTTTTTATAAATGCACAATTTGGCACACCCTTTTTTGGCAAATTCTGAAATATTTTCCTTCTCTAAATGATTAATAGATATTTGTTTGTCTTGGTTTTCATTTGTGATTTTGATTTGCTTTCATGGATGTTCGCCACATGTGTGTATGAAAACACTGTTTTGTAAATATTCTTAGTGTTTTTACTTTTTCATTTAATTTGCGCATTAAGTTCAGTAAATGACTCCAAGTGGATAATTGTGACACTTCTTTATTCAATGAATATTATAGTTATTAATTATCACATATTCTAGGTTTTTTTTATCAATTCTTCTGTTTTAATATTCGTAAAATCATTTATTGTACTTTATTTGTTTCGGTATAAAACGGATGTGTAGAGTCAGTCTTTCAAACAGGGAAATACAAATATCTCACTGAATTAATAAATTGATGAAGGAAATACAGTGAACTGTCGTTATCAGGAAAACCATGTCTAGCAATTCTGGTTGACAATTCTTAGTATAATTTAAGTTAGTGGTAAAGTCTGCTAGACTTTTAGGTATATTTTCAGAAATATTTTAGAATATAATGTGATAAAACTATAAGATAAGATGTTGATGAAAATGGAAGTATATGTATATGCAAGTACATTTCAGTATATACTGTACCTTTAAAACAATATTGTTAACACAGGTTACAGTGATAAACAGGACACACGTATACACATAAAACGGATTTCTAGGAAACTACGTCACTCTAAAGTATATTTTGTCTTCTTTTTTCTTTGTGAATATTTGCTTTTGAAAATACGTTGCGCCCTTTCTAGATTTTACTTTAATACACCCCATTTACCTTTAAGTGTTTAAATGAAACATTAGGGGATATGCATAGGTTGCTTTTATGAGTACGGCCTTTTAAATGTGTGCATATTTGAAAATTTAAGCGACATGACACTTGTAATAACAACCATCTCCTGCTGTGTCCTGTTTATTGTTGTAAACTGTTTCAAAGAAAAACATGCAGAAGCAATGTTGTCCACATTTTATACAATCTGGACAGTAGGTTGCTGCATGTATAAGCTTTATAATGGCAATTTTTTTTTTCAAAGATTTTAAATGGTCGTCGCACGGAGTCCATCTTGGAAAATCAGGCCTATCTTAAAATGGAGTCAAAATGACAGAAAAAAAAAGTCAAATCAGAACAATGTATTTGTTTACTCTGTATTTATACAAACAAACACCATATACATGTATCATTTGTAACACAAACATAGCACAATTAATTGCCCCTGATTTCTAACCCTAATAGTATCGTCATCAAAGGGATATAACTTTTTACAATGGCAATTTGCCAAAAAAAAAGAAAGAAAGAAAATTCCCAAATTTAAGGATATATAGCGCCTAGTATAACACTTTTTTCATCTTGCTTTCTTGTGTTAGACCATTCTCGTGTATTTTTTGGTCTTACTTTTTTCATTCATTATTGATTTCTATATTTGTCAAATCAGAGAAAGTTAAAATGTCAGTTGTTATTAACTTGCACATCTTTCTTTACAGAATTTTTACAATGAGCTTGAACACAAACAGTATTCAGCTTGGCGAGGTAAAACCAATTTATGTGTTGTTGTGTTATAAACTTAAAGATTACATATCATTACATAGCTGTCCAAGGAATCAGATTTGAAGGGCAGATATTGATTATGTTAGCTTCATAACCATTATTGCCCCAAACTTTTCGTAGGAAAATTAAAACAAAAAGGAAATGATAACATACTTTAACAATCAATCTTTACAATAGACAGTTATCAAACAGATATCTATAAGGTGGTCTTAAGTTAAGTCTTTATGAATCGTTGAAATAATGAGTGATTTATTACAGACAGTTGTCAAACTGTTATCATAAGGTGGTGTTAAGTTGCGTCTTAATGAATCCTTGACATAATTAGAAATTCATAACAGACAGTTATCAAACTGATATATATAAGGTGGTTTTAAGTTAAGTCTTAATGAATCGTTGAAATAGTGAGTGATTCATAATAAACAGTTATCAATCTGATATATATACGTTGATGTTAAGTTAAGTCGTGATGAATCGATGACATAATAAGGGATTCATAACAGACAGTTGTCAAACTGATATCTATAAGATGGTGTTAAGTTCACTCTTAATGAATGGTTGACATAATAAGGGATTCATAACAGACAGTTATCAAACTGATATCATAAGGTGGTGTTAAGTTGCGTCTTAAAGCATCGATGACATAATAAAGGATTCATAACAGACAGTTGTAAAACTTATATCTACAAGGTGGTGTTAAGTTGCGTCTTAATGAATCAATGACATAATGAGGGATTCATAACAGACAGTTGTCAAACTGATATCATAAGGTGGTGTTAAGTTGCGTCTTAATGAATCGATGACATAATAAGGGATTCATAACAGACAGTTGTCAAACTGATATCATAAGCTGATGTTAAGTTAATTTTTAATGAATCGTTGATATAATAAGGGATTCATAACAGACGTTTATCAATCTGATATCTATAAGATGGTGTTAAGTTAAGTCGTAATGAATCGATGACATAATGAGGGATTCATAACAGACAGTTAACAAACTGATATCTTAAGGTGGTGTTAATTTACGTCTTAATGAATCGTTGACATAATAAGGGATTCATTACAGACAGTTATCAAACTGATATCTACAAGGTAGTGTTAAGTTGCGTCTTAATGAATCGTTGACATAATAAGGGATTCATAACAGACAGTTGTCAAACTGATATCATAAGGTGGTGTTAAGTTGCGTCTTAATGAATCGTTGACATAATAAGGGATTCATAATAGACAGTTATTTTTTATTTGCATTGTTGACTCCACTGTATTTTATCTGCTCTAAAGCAAAAGTAAAAAATGTTCGAAAAATAAAAGGATAAACAGCAAAAAACGATTTTGTTAATTTTGCATCTCTCTGGAGTCATCTGTTTCAAAAATACGATCATATAAAACCCACAGACTCTGTATGGTTTCTTCTGAAATAATTGAATCCATTGCTTGCTTGTACATATTTATATTGTCTTTATTTTTTCCCATGACAACGAATTGGTATAGTATTACTTATTCAAAACGAGACTAATATAAACACAAATGTGATGTCAATCTGTTCAGCTTCTTTAATTCTTAATCGTTATCTTCATAACAATACATAACAAAAATTGTTTTAATTATATGCAGGATTTAATAGATGCCGCTCGACATGGACAAACGGAAAAGTTAAGGAGTTGTTTAAAAAGAGGAGCAAATATAAACTATCAAAACTGGGTGAGTTATGTGAAAAGTATCTGATTTTTTCTACTTTTTTCATTTGTTTGAATTGTTTTCTTTCATTTACCATTTAGTACTTAAAAGGGAAAAAAAACCCAAAAATACCGACTTTCTCATTTCTCTTGTTGATTTACCCTTTGATTATTATAGAAAATGTGCTGTATTTGTATTACCTCATCCATTGTGTTAGTAGGTACTGATGATTTGTTCCGCGTCTTTGTTTCTCTTGTTAATTTACCCTTTGGTTATTATTATAGAACATGGGCTGTATTTGTGTTACCTCATCCATTGTGTTGGTAGGTACTGGTGATTTGTTCGGTGTCTTTATTTTTCTTTTTGATTTACCCTTTAGTTATAATTATAGAACATGTGTTGTCATTTTAGAGATATGTTTAAACAGTGTCATATAAGCGGTAGGTTTGGCTAGCCATAAAACCAGGTTCAACCCACCATTTTGTTCTTAAAATGTCCTGTACCAAGTCAGGAATATGGCAGTTGGTATCAAATAGTTCGTTTCTATGTATATTGGCGTTTGTTTTTGTTGCACTTCAGTGTTCCTTTTGTTCCTTTGTTTTCCTCTTATAGTTGATGTGTTACCCTCTGTTTTAGTTTGTAACCCGAATTTGTTTTCTATCAATCGATTAATGACTTTTGAAAACCGGTATACTACTGTTGTCTTTATTTGTATTACCTCATCCTTGTCGTTGGTTTGTGCTGGTGATTTGTTCCATGTCTTTCTTATTCTTGTTGATTTACCCCTTGGTTATTATTATAGAACATGGGCTGTATTTGTGTTACCTCATCCATTGTGTTGGTAGGTACCGGTGGTTTGTTCCGCGTCTTTATTTCTCTTGTTGATATACCTTTTTGTTATTACTATAGAACATGGGCTGTATCTGTATTACCTCATCCATTTTGTTGAAAGGTGCTGGTGATTTGATTGTCGTCTTTATTTCTCTTGTTGATGTACCCTTTGGTTATTATTATAGAACATGTGTTGTATCTGTATTACCTCATCCATTGTGTTGGTAGGTGCTGGTGATTTGTTCCGCGTCTTTCTTATTCTTGTTGATTTACTCTTTTGTTTTAATTCCCTCTGTTTGTGTTTTTTACCTTTATTTTTCTCTTATCAATTGAATTACGAAATCTGAACATCTGTAAGCTAATGATTCTTTATTATGATAAGCAAGTGAAATCTTAAAGCTTAAAGCTTTAACACCTAAAAAAATAAACCAATTGTGGGTAACTTGTATCATTTAGAAGTAAGACATACTAGTATACACTATTATAAATGCATGATAGTTGATTATCAATTCGAAACAAAGCCATATTCTAGTTCCAGTAAAACATGGGCTGCATGTGATTGACGTCATTATTGTCATTACAACGTCAGTTGTATTTTGAAATACGAAATAACTTAAAATGGACATGTGTGTTGGAGACGCTTGTAAATAGCTTCCGTTCAAACGTGTCCGCTTCGAAATACAAAAGTTCTTAATTTTCCAATTAGAATCGATATAATTCTATCATGCCATGCTCTGTGCTCAGTTCAACATAGGTAGGCATTATATTTGTCAAACATTTTACTCATCGCTTTCCCTCGGTATAAAGATATTGACAAAAATAGTGCCTACCCATGTCAACATGAGCATATGTCATGCCATGAAAGAACTATTTCTCAAATTATAAACATGGCAGAAAGCAATGCAACGTGAATATGAATTACACATTAATAGCCTCCACTGCGAATAGTCCATTGCTAGTAGTTTCAAGAACAAATGATGCATTGTATAATATGGATTACTAATCTATTATCTGTTATATCAAAATACATGGGTTCTATAGGTGCTGATAATAAACAATTTTTTTTCTTTATAACTTGATGTTGGATCCTGAGTTGACTGTACACTTGTTGTGACACTACGTTGTTTACTCTCTTTAGTTTAAACAATTTTGTTCTTTTAAAGCACAAATTACAATTTTACAATATAAATACAGGAACTCGGTCAATTTCTTTGGTAACATTAGTTGCTCCCGTATCATTAAATTGAAGTTAGATTGATATCTGCATTTTTGCTCTATCCGGATTGATACAAATGCACCTCACCGCACTGCATGCAACGGGTAAACATAAATCGTCAAGTTTTTAATTATCGATATTATTGATTTCAAGATACAAAAAAGTCAAGTAACAATAATACCGAACTCAAAGGAAAATTCAAAACGGAAAGTCCCTTAACAAATGGCAAAATCAAAAAGGTCAACCCTATCAAACGAATGGAAACTAACTGCATTATTTCTGACTTGGTACAGGCATTTCCTTATGAAAAAAACAATGTAATTAGATGCATTATTATCAATCATATGTCACTGACTGACATGAAAATAAACATGTATGTACATGATGTATGTCATAACTGCAATTCAGTACAATTAAACTTTCAATAATCATGGTTATACTAATTGTTTACAACTTCTTCTTTTCCATTTGGGAGTTAGCATTGTTCTTCTGAAATAATAATCAGTTACTATAAACTATTCCTCAATTGTTAACGTTTTTATCCATATCACATGGAATTCAAAGTATGAAATACTAAGCAGCGTTTGGGTAAAGCTTGAAGCGTTAAAGTATCTATAAAATGCAAATACAATCAAGCGTAAACTAATGCTACAAGTTATGCTTTACAAGTAAACACGGATTTCCTTGACAAATTTAAAACAATATATACAACCTTTAACACCATCTGATTGTCAAGCACATAGTTGGCTGCTTTGATAGTAGGTACAATCACAAATTGCCTCTTGAATACATTAAGTTTTTTTTTTTTCAAGATTCAAATTTATTAGCAACCCTTTTGTTTACTTCTACATCATTTTTAAATATGATTTACGAATATTCATAATGTTGATAATATTTCTTTCAAATGAAAATCAAAAGAAAATTATCGGATATATACCGTGTTCACCAAATTCTACAGAAAGATGAAAGAGCGCCGTTTATTGACCTGACGACATTCTTTCCCATCCATTTTAATGGAGTACGATATCGATGTTCTTTTTCAGTATGTTTATAACCTGTCGGTTTTGTTTGTACCGCCTGTTCCAACTTTGCCGGTTGAATCACAACTTTATTTTAATGTTTCAAAGTCTCATGGTGCAGGAGCATTATTATAAGCTGACGAAAGGTGTTATTGGCGTATACATACAAATTAAACAGCTACATGTTTAATTTTTATTACGTATATGAAAACCTTGGTGGTTCGTTGTCATCAAAATTGGAAGATATTAAGGTTATTAAATATACTAGATATGATGCTAAATTAATTCTCCTTTTAACATATTTAATATCAAGAAAATGACATGTATTAAGGTAAATCCAGCAGAACAATAAATATAACCAATATACTAGATATGATGCTAAATTAATTCTCCTTTTAACATATAACTTTAGGGGATTCCATCTATTCAGTCCAAGTCAAAATGTGTGAATAACTAGATTTGTACTTGATGCATTTACGTATACTTCAGTTGAAATGAAAACGGTTGTCTTTATTTACAAAATATATAAAAATAAGTATATAAATTACGGTAAACTAGTTAAATTATTGTAGACACTGTGAATTTGAATTTCACGTCAATCACGTTTGTGCACAATGAGGAGGTCATCAAATTTTCAATGTTAGGCTTTACTATTTTAGTGACCAGTCGGCAATCAACAATCCGACGTCGATCAGTTAAGTACGTGTCAAGTTAACGTCATCCCTCTATTAGAAAAATCCTTGCGTCTGATTAGACACGTAAATTTGAGTCTTGTAAATTCAAGAATCGTTGTTTCGTTTTATTTAGTTTAAACGGCGCCACGAAACAGTACAAATCGTTTAAGTACATAAGATCTAAACAATTTTAATTATGTAGCAAAGTGTCCACAACTAAATGTTTCACTTTCGTCTGAGAGAAGTGAAGTATGTGTTTGTTTTTGGCACGGTAGTTTGTGAAATTATTATAAAACCAATGGTTTTTATTCAGACAATGACCCCATAAGGAAAATGCAGCAATGAACTCTGCAGAGCTTTGTTCTCTAACGACATTCATTTTTTTGTATAACTGCAGGAACCTGATATAAAAAACTTATTATCAATTTTCGTTTTACAAATAACAATGAGTTTTTCATATATTTTCATATGCTAATCATATGACATTTATGTGAATTACACAATAATCAGAATAGATCAGACTCTGAACTGAGTGAAATCTATGAGATCTCTATTTAAATACTGGTTGTAGTTAATTTTCAACACATATTTTTCATGTATTACTATACATATTTACAATGTACATTGTACACTGCTTACCCCTATTTTTGATACCTTTTGCCTATTATGTCTGTTTGTTTTGTTCACCCATTGTTACCCGTATAATGGAATTTTATGCGATTGTCATACAAGTGAGAGGTTAAGCTAGCTATAAAACCAGGTCTACACAAGAAAATGCCTGTACCAAGTCGGGAATCTAAAAGTGGTTTTCCATTCGTTTGATGTGTATGAGTTTTGACATCTTTTTGACCATGTTTTCTATTATTGTACTCATACCAAAACCACCACACCGAGGTCTTGGCTCGCTCTCGACATTTAACTATGCCTTAGTCATCATCATGAAGCCGATATAATATTTCGTTTTGTAACGACCGCGGACATATTTCTATCGATAGCTAACTCTTTCTGCAGACTCCAGTACGGTTTCAGGATGTCATTTAAACTAGGGTTTTCTTGACTACCTTCTTTGCAATATAACATAAGGGTTTTGCATATTTCATCTTTTACGCACTCGTCCCTAATGTGTTGAAGTCTCATATCTGATGACTGAAAATTATTTACAATACTGTTCACGTACGCTATTGTCTCGGTCTCAAATTCATTTGACTCGGACAAGATGTCTACCGGCATCTTTATAAGGCATTTTCGATATGTAATTCCTCACCTGGTACGTGCTCAATTGTG